ACACTGTGCATCAGCCACAGACAGACCCAGACAGACCAGTGACAAAAACAGAATGTTGCCTGCACCCTCTCTCCCAACAGAAAGAGACTGAGAAATAGGAAACAGGGTTCAGTCACTGGATCAGGTTGAAAAAGGGGTCCCAGGAGAGCTGCCCACAGGTCAGGGAGTAGGAATGATCTGTTGGAAATGTCGAATTTTTTCACTACACAGTGAATCACAGGGCTGGGGGCATGGCTCAGTCGGTGGGAGGGTACTTGCCTAGAATCCCCCAGTAAGGTTCTGGGTGTGACTCAATGATAGAGCACTTGCCTGGAATTCTCCAGTTGAGGGTTGTGGGTGTGGCTCAGTGGTAGAGATGGCACTTGAAGAACTGCAGTTGAGGTTGTCCCCTGGCCTCCACATGCTCACACACTCGTGTCCTCCTGGAACTTTCTTCCCATAGGCAGATGCCCTACTTGCTGGACTTCAGTGGCTACAGGGTGTGTCCCTCCGACCTCGTTCCCTGGTAACCCCAAGGCCTGGTACCTCTGCTCTCATGCTACACTGTCTGCTTAGGGGAGGTCACCCTTCCTCTTTTATTTTTTAATATTTATTTTCATTACGTGTATCTGTGTTTGGGTACAGTTATCTGTGGAGTCCAGAAGAGGACCTCAGCTTCTCTAGAACTGGAGTTACAGGGAACTGTGAGCTACCAGAAGCAGGTCCTCTCCAAGAGCAGTTTGGGCTCTTAACGCCAAGCCATCTCCAGGCCCCTTCCCTAGGTTTTGATGGTAATTCCCCCCATGATGATTCATACATCTGTTTCCCCCTAGGTTCTCTCTATACCGGGGCGTCCTCTTCACCTTTGCCCTTGAAAGTCCTCCTGTTCCTAGGCCAGGGCATGGTGGGCCAACACTGACCTTTGAACTCCCCACCCCATCTGACCAGTCTGCAGCTGTGTCCATTAAGCACAGATCTCTCTCAAATTCATCCACAGCTCCCCAACCAAATTGTGAAAATGTCACCCCAAATACACAGACATACCCTAGAGGGCACTTCTAAAATGTCATATGAAAAATGCTTACCAACTCATGTCTTTCCCTTTTAGCCTCTCCAAGCCATTTTAAAACCTGCAGCTCTGGGGATCTTATTAAAATGCAAATCAGATCAAGTTATTCTTCTGCATAACTGTTCCTAGGGCCCAGGCCTGGTCTCCATCTCCCTGAGTCATTGACCATTATGATCTCTAGGCTTGGCTGCCCCCCACCCCCATGTGTGGGTGTGATGTGTGTGCAGAGGTCAGAGGACTGGGTGCCCTGGTCCGTCACCCCATCTTATTCCCCTGAGACAGTGTTCCTCACTAAAGCATCAAATATAATGGTTCAAGTAAGAAATGTCCCCCATAGTCTTGAGTATTTAAACACTTAGTCCCAGTTGGTGTAGCTGTTTGGGAAGGTTTGTTTGTTTTTAATCTTTTTTATGTTTATAAGTATTTGTGGCCGGGCGTTGGTGGCGCACGCCTTTAATCCCAGCACTCGGGAGGCAGAGGCAGGCGGATCTCTGTGAGTTCAAGGCCAGGCTGGACCGACAGCCTCCCAAACAGAGAAACCCTGTCTCATAAAACCAAAAAAAAAAAAAGTATTTGTGGATGGCCGTTCCCTATGCCGTTTGGGGAGGTACAGCTGATGCAGCCGTGCTGGAGGAAGTATGTCACTGGGGACAAGTTTTGAGATTACAGGCCTTAGGCCATTTCCAGCTCCTCACTTTCTCTGCTTGGCACTTGTGGTTCAGTGTGAGATCTCAGCTCCCTGCTCCAGCTGCCATGTCTCATGGACTCTTTTTTTGTTGTTGTTGTTGTTTTGGTTTTTTGAGACAGGGTTTCTCTGACCATGATGGACTCTTATCCCTTTGGAACAGTAAATCCAATTAAGCACTTCCTTCTCTAGTTACCTTGCCCATAGTGTTTTGTCAGAGCAATAGAAAAGTAATTAATACAGCCAGGTTGGCAGCCATCAAGCTCCAGCTACCCTCTGGTACCAACTTCCCACAGTGTTGGGATTGCACAGCCCAAAAGATGGGTGCACAGGCATGCCAAGCTTCTTATGTGGGTGCTGGGGAATAGAACTCGGGTCTTCAGCTTGCAAGGCAAGCTCTCACACACTGAGCCATCTCCCCAGCTCCCTTTCCAGCATGTTCTACATCATCTTTCAGCTCTAGGTAGACCCTAGCCCTTCCCGTACATACTCCTCCCTGCTCTAGAATCAGGGTTCTTCCCTTAGGCGACAGCACCAGCACAGCACACGCATCTCAAGCCCCGGGTTGAGAAGTACTGGTCTAGGCTACATAGGGAGTTGGAGGCTACATGGGCTATTTAACAAGACCTTGTCTCCATGGGAGGGGAAAAGAGGAGTGTTGAGGACCAAAGAGGCCTTCTGTTTGCTGCTACACAGCTTTGCTTCAACAAAAAGTGGGTGGGGGGCTGGAAAGGGAAGGGAGGGGAGAGGCTGGACAAAGGAAAAGAAAGTTCTTCCTCACTTTCCTGAGTTCTAACTGAACCCTTGGGTATACAGTTATGTCTTCCCTCCGGTCTCTGCCTCCTGAGTGTTGGTGTGCACAACCACACCTGGCCTTGTTTTCTGTTTTTAAAATACGTTTTAAAAAGTGTGTGTGTGTATGTGTATGTTTTCATTCGTGAGTGCAGGTGCCTACAGAGGCCAGAAGAATGTGTCTGATTCCCTGGGGCTAGAGTTACAGGCAGCTGTAAGCCACCTGAGTGGGTGCTGGGAACTGACCTTGGTTCCCTCCAAGAGCATCAAGTACTCTCAGCTTCTGAACTGGCTCTCCTATGTCTTCTTCTGAAGTTTACCTTTGTGCTTTTTTTTCTTTTTAAATAGCTTGACTGAAAACAAAGTATGGTACCTTATCCCAGCCCTCAGGAGAGAGAGGCAGGAAGACTACAACAGATTGAAGGCCAGCCTGAGCTATACATCGACATCCAAGACAGCCTTCCTCCCACCAGTCCTGACATGAAATCTGGAGAAGGCATGCCCACTCTGTAGTCACCAGCCTGCCCTGCTGTCCCTTCCAGTGTAACCATTGAATGACTGGTGTATGACATCACTTTTGTTCTGACTATAAAATGCATCATGAAACCTGTTCCATAATGGAACACGTGACTCAGCCCGCAACACAGTTAACTATACATGCCTCTGAATAGATGATCTGCTTGTTTCCTTCATTTGGTGACTCGCACTTTTAAATTTCCACACACACACACACACACACACACACACACACACACACACACACACACACACACACACTGCAAGGAAGAACATGGTCAGAGGACAGCCTGCAGTGACAGTCCTCTCCTTCCATCCTGTAGAGGGTCCAGCTCAGGTCACCAAGCTTGAGAACAAGTACTTTAAGCAGCGGAGCCACCTTTGTCTGCCCCTAATTTTTAAAAACATTTATTTGTGTGCATGTGTATGCCTGCATGAGTTTATACGCACCACATGCATGCAGGACCTCCAGAGGCCAGAAGATGGGGTCAGATTCCCAGGAGCTGGAGTTACGGGTGTCTATGAGTCACTTGACATGGGTTCTAGGAACCAAACCCAGGTCTTCTGCATGAGTAGTAGTAGTCCTAACTACTGGGCCATCTTTCCAATTCACCCCCTACTTTCTTTTTTTTTTTTTTTAATTTCCTCGAGCATATGTACATGTGCATGACTGAAGGGAGCTCTGTGACGTAGTGTAAGTGTGAAGGGAAAACCCTGGCTTCAGTCCTTATCTTCCATTTTGAGACTGGCTTTCTCATTTGTCACATATAAATCCAGGCTAGCTGGCCCTGGAGCTTCTGAGGATGGGGTCTGATAGGACTTAAAACTCAAAGAACACAAGTAACTTTAATCTAAAGACATAAAAGAATAATGTGCCCTTGGTCTTTAGGAAAGATTATTGAATTTTAGATAAAAGAATTTTAAAATAACTTCAATTACTTAAGAAAAAAATGACTAAGATGTTTCTGCCTAGAAAAACTTGAAGCTGGGCACAGTAATGCATACTTGTAATCCTCGTGTACTCACGAGGCAGGACAATCGTAAGTTCAAGGCCATCCTCGGCTACAATGTAAATTTGGGGCCAGCCTGGGATATCTGAAATCCTGTCTCAAGAAACAACGGGAAAAAAGAACAGAAAACTTCGGCCTTAAAGGACAGATTGTGCATAGCAATGGGGGTGGAGACAGAGACACTCGGAGGAGACAGAAATGAGTATGGACATGCGCGTGCATGCGTGCATGTGTACCCCTGCGTGCAGATGCACATCAGAGGCCTCAACAATGACTTTGAACAGAAAGACAGAAGAGACCCTGTCCCACACATGTCTACTGGATTGATGACAACACGTTGAATAGGACTCCCACCGCCCAAGCTACCTGCCATGGTAACCTGGCTGGGACAGAATAAAGCACAGACTGGTTTGAGGTTTAAAACAATTCTCCCCAAAAGTTCTGAATATGCAAAAGTTTAAAATGACTGATTTAATATCATAAAATGTTTGGAAGAATAAATAAAACGTTTGGGACTAGAGAGATGGTTCAGCAGTTAACAGCACTGCTGCTCTTCCAGAGAACATGAATTTATTTCCTAGCATCCATGTCAGCAGGCTCACAACCACCTGTGACTCCCTATTCTGGTCTCCATGGCATGCACACACACGCACACACATATACACACCTTTGAGAATTGTGAGCAATCATTTTCAGGAGGTGTGACTCTGTAAGATTGAGAAAGGGGCTGGAGTCCTTACCTTGGAAGGGGCAAAAAGGCTTGGCTCAGCTACTTACTAGAAGCTGAATATACTGGTGCACACTCTATAAAGAGCCAATAGCTCAGAGAGTGCGGCTGGTGGCACCGGCCGGCAGTAATCCCAGGTCTCAGCAGGCTGAGGCAGGAGCACTGCTGTGAGTGGACGCCAGCCTGCACTAACCAGAACACGTTTAAAGGAGAGCCAGTAGCTCAGAAGAAAAAGGCAAAAATATTTATTCCCTGTGTAACACCCAGGGATAGCACTTAGGAAAATTACTAAAATAAAACTCAAAACTATGAAAAATCCAAAGGTGACTGTTAACTCCGCTGCCTCAGAAATCAACTCAGAAAAGAGCCTGAGCTCTGGTTGGAAGCACTGAGCTGAGTCCCCGACCCCGACGGGTGGTGCTGTGTCTGTAGGCCAGCTGCCTGGTGGTGTCACTCTGTGAAATACAGCTATGAAGCTTTGCCCGTGGGACAGTGATGGGGACTGAGACCCTTCCGGGGCCAGGCGGCTCTCGTCTTTGGTGATCCTTAACTCAGATAAGCTCAGCATCCAGAAACGTCCTTCGCTTTGTTCTTCCTCTGGTATCTCGTGTCCTTGGGATCAAAGCCTCTCTCCCTGGCACCGAACAGTGCCCACTGTGGGGTTCTGGCCATGTAATCGCTCGCACTGAACGTCTTTGAGCCTCCACTCTCTTCGTACTGCAGGACGAGCTCCTGGAAGCGGCTGTAATCGATCCACGTCCACCACTCTCCACTGATTTTAAACTGCAAAGAAAAGTGGTCAGAAGTAAAACTATGTACAAGGAAACATAGTGCCAGTCCGCCTGGATCCCTAGTTTTATGACAATCTGGCACAAACTAGAGTCATATTGGAAAGAAGAACCTCAACTGAGAAAAGGCTCCCGTCAGAGTGGCATGGTGCATTTCTTAATTAATGAATGATGTGGAGGCCCCGCTCACTGTGGTGCCACCCCTGGGCTGATGGTCCTGCGTGATATAAGACAGCAAGCTGAGCAAGTCATGAGGAGCAAGCCAGTAACCAGTGCTCCTCCATGGTCTCTGCATCAGCTCCAGGTTCCTGCCCCAACTTCCTTCAGTGATGGATGGACTGACAACAAGCAAGTCCATGCCCAAGTCACTTTTGGTCATGGTATTTCATCACAGCAATAGAAGCTCTAACTGAGACAAACAGCATTAGTTTTGGACTGGAGAGATGGCTCAGAGATCAAGAGCAAGTATTGTTCTCCCAGGAGACTAGAGTTTGTGCCCAGCACCCGTGTAGGGCAGCTTACATCTTCCTGTAACTCCAGATCCAGGAGATTCAATGCCGTCTTCTGACCTCCATGGGTAACTCGCCACCCCACTCCCTCCACTAGCACACATAAATAGCAATGAATGTTTTTTAACAACTCAAATAAATGTCAAAAATTCCCCAGTGAGAGAGCTAAGAATGTGGCTCTGTTGGTAGAGTGTTCTCCAAACATGAAGCCTTGGCTTCCATTCCCAGCACTGCACAAACTGGACATGGTGGTACATGCCAGTAACTCCACAATCAGGATGATCAGAAGTTCAAGGTCAGCCTGAGCTACATATGACCTTGCACAAAACAATGTTTTAAATTGTTAATCAGCCCGTTTTTTCTCTCATGTTAAACTTTCACGTTTTCAGTATGCTTGTGTCCCTGAAGCCCTGTCCGTACCACACATGGAAGGCCCAACTGTTAATAAGGAATACTTCCTGAACTGGGCATAGTGGCCCAGGCCCAGAATCTCAGACCCTGGAAGATGGATGCAGAAAGACAAGGACAGAGGCCAGAGCCGGTTGTATTTAGGAATATACATAGATACATACACATACATATACATGTACACCATGTAACAACAATTAATGAAAAAAGGGGTTATGAATTTGAAAGAGTGCAAGGAGGGGTGTATGGGGGAGGGTTTAAAGAGAAAAGGGGGAAGGAGGATATGATGTTAATTGCAAATGATCTCAAAAAATAAAAAAAATTAAAGCCTTAAAACAAAGGAGAGAATTTATATAAACAAAGGAGCAGGGTTCAACCTGTCCTACAGAGTGAGGCTACATTTCTGGGAAAGGGGGCTCCCTGCAACAGGCAGTCAAATTTTCCTGGAGTGAAGTGACTACAGAGGGCCACAGAGAGTTAAGCAGCTGGTGTTACCTGGAGTTCACAGTCAAGCTGCTTTTGATCCGGCGCGTGTTTTCACCCCGCTGTTAGCAGTGTGTGTGGAGGGCTTTTTATTGCTAAACTTTGCTTGAGCAAAGTCCTAATCAATGGCTTCTAATTCTGAGCTGCTAAATGACACAGAGCTAGCCTTTGCATCCTAACATGCTACAATATCTCATTAGCAGAAAGCCTCGTGAAGAATTTCAATTCAATAATGGGGGATAATCCAATTTGTACTCTCTTAAGTAAATTGCTTCTCCAAAGTCACTGTGGAATAATGGCCAAGAATGAAGAGAACAGAGAGGCAACAGAGGGGGCCGAGGCAACTCTCCTTTTGTGGTGAAGGCTTTTCATTCAAAGCCTCTGCCTGTGAATTAATGCCGATGGGTGACTTGTAAATAGACAAGCGTCTCTGTCCCAGCACTAGGAAGACTGAGGCAGGAGGAACAAGAGTTCAAGGGCAGCCAGGGCTAAACAGCAGGAGCCTGTCTCAAAATAGAAGCAGGCTGGAGACTGCGGCTCAGTGGCGAAGAGCACACACTGCTCCTCATGCAGGGAGAGTACAGACACGGTTGAAGTCCCAACACCCAAGTCGGGTGGCTCACAACCACCTGTAACTCCAGAAAAGCCTAATTCATTCTATGAACCAACTGAAGCAACAGTTTCCAGTTACAGTTGAGAAAACCAGTTAGGATAATACTTACTGAATTTAAACGGTTCGTGGTTTATGTCAGACAGCTAAAAGCTTTCTAGTAGACAGGGCCAAATGTATGTAAAAGCTTAAGTGGTATGTTGATGAATTATGATGTCCATTCTTTGAAATGCTGCCCCAAGGCTTCCTACATCTTACAGCCGGAAGCCTAAGCTCCCCATCTTTACTTTCCCTCCCAACACTACACACAAGTGTTCTCCAGTCCTGCGACACACAGCTCTCTCTAGCCAGGCATGATGGTGTACACGTGTAACCCGGCAACTCAGGAGGTAGAGGCAGGACAAGTAGGAGTTCAAGGTCATCCTCCACTACAAGTTGAGGCCAGCCTGGCCTACATGAAACCCTGTGCCCAAAACAAACAAACAAACAAAATAAAGGAGGGAGGGGTGAGGTTGGGGGATAGCTCAGTAGTTAAAAGCACTCACTCCTCTTGCAGAGGACCCATGTTTGGTTCCCAGCACCCACACTGGGCAGCTCACAACCACTTGTAACTCCAGCTGCAAGCGACCTCTGGTCTCCACTGGCACCTACACACACACTTAAAACTAAATCATTAGCAAACAAAAAATAACAAGTAAAGGATTCTTTGTCATGGATAGGCTCAGAGAAACAAAAGGATCTGTTTAGATTAGAGCAGTGGTTCTCAACCCATGGGGCACAACCCCTTTAGGGGTAGAATGACCCTTTCACAGAGGTCATATATCAGATATCCTGCATATCAGATATATACATGATGATTCATAACAGTAGCAGAATTGCAGTTATGAAGTAGCAACAAAAATTTTATGCTTAGGGGTCACCACAACATGAAGAACTGTATTAAAGGGTTGCAGCATTACGAAGGTTGAGAACCACTAGATTAGAACCATAAACTCAATTATTTTTAGCCCAGCCAACTCTAATATATATATATTATATATATATATATATTAGAGTTGAGTCTCTGTTCTCTCTCTCTTTCTCACAAAACACAATAAGCTGTTTGTGATGCATCTCATCTGCAATTCCCAGAGGCAGTCTGCAAACTCAGGCACTGGAAGCCATGCTAACAGTCCTCTGAAACTGTGCTCAGGCCCAGAGGGGAAGAGACCACTTGCACAGACAGGACTATTAGAAATGAGAGGTGGCCAATGACACTTAGAGACTTAGAGGTTCCCGGTCTCTAAGGACACAGTCTCTGATGTAACCCGATGCAGATGCACTAGAGGTTTGGGCCACCGTGACAAGGTGCCTCAGACTGGGGAGGGCTGTCTGTCTTCCTGGCTGGCAAACAATGCCTTTTCACTGTGTCAACATGGGCTTTCTCCCTGTGTGCAGGTTGTTCAGTGTCTGTCCTTGTAAGGGCAGGCCCTATCCAGGTATCATCCAACCTGGGAAGCCCCATCTTTAATACAGTCGAACGGGGGGGGGAGAGAGAGGGAAGAGGCATAAACTCAACACAAATGGATCTGGGAAATGGGGGACACACAATTCCATCCAGAGTATGAGTAACTCCAAGAACAATGCTGAGTCACCAGGCCTCAAGGATCAAACTCAATGTCCACGCTCCTCAATACGAGCTGAGGTAAAAGGAGCTCAGAAAAGTCCAACTGTTTCACAAAGAGAGTAGAAGCTAAAAGGGCAGCACTTGGCATGATTGACGCAAACTGTGTCAGAAGGCAGCTGTGTCAACAGGGAAACAAAGCCCCCCAGATCTCAAGATGGGAGAAGTGTCCAAGACATTGGGTCATCTGACTTCAGGGACTCCACAACCCCCACAAGGAAGGGAAGAGGTAAATCAATGCAGCGTTATGAACAAACTCAAAAGGTCGCAGATGATCTCATGACAGTGTGGTGAGGTATGGCCCAGACTAAACAGCAGGCCGCTCTAGACAGGGCCAGCCATGGAGGCCAGATGAGCCGGTGAGCACCTGCCACGAAAAACGAAAAAAGCAAACAAGCTCATCTAGTTATTATCTCATCTTTCACACAGGAAAAATCCCCTAAACAACACGACAGCATGAGATCTTTATTCTTATAAACATTCTACAGGAATCTACATACAATCAGCTATCAGCTCTAGGTTACACTCAAGACCTAGATCCCAACACCTGGGCTAGGAGTGTGCTTCTTTTCTTTTAATTAATTTTATAGTATTTTAAAATCTTCATTACACTTTTTTATTGGGAAGAGGGGGTGCTTGTGTGTAGAGGTCAGAGGTCAACTTGAAGGAGTGAGCTCCTTCCAAGCACCCGGTGGGTCCCAGGAGTCAGGTCATCAAGACCCATGGTGAGAGGCTTTACCTACTGAGTCATTTCTCCGCCCTGGATTATTTTGTGTTTGATGTCTCTAACCTTGCTGGTTTAAGGTGATGTATCCCGTTGTGAGCCTGGAGGGAGACAACTATCAAAAGAGATTGCTTCACAGAGAGCCGGCCCACATTCTCTTCCTTCACCACACACTGGTATCCAGAAAGGGAGGTGGAGAGCGGATTCCAGTGTATAAGGCCCTCCCAACCAGGCCTGAATAGGAAACATACCAGAAGATACGGATAATCTGGTCTGGGGTTTAATCCCACTGTGTGAGCCTCTGGACTTTTCTCCATAGGCGTGGACGCCATGCATCAGAACAAAACTCAAAGGAACACCACAGCAGACTATTTCAGAGGCAGAGGCCCTGGTGTTGGATATCCACTGGACCAAGAGAGAGCTCACAGTCTCTCAGTCTGGCCATGTTTCATTCCTCCTGGGGCATGTGAATACCTGTGGGTGGGGCTTCCTCTGCTGTGCATTTTAAACACAATCCACCTGTCAATCACTACCCCTCTACCCTTACTCCCTCCTCCCTCTCTGTTTTTGAGCCAGGTTCTCTCCACATAGTCCTGGATGGCTGGAACTTGCTATGTAGACTAGGCTGGCTTCAAACTCACAGAGATCCTCCTGCCTCTGCCTCCCAAGAGTTAGGTCTCAGGTGTACAACATCATGCTCGGGCTTAAAGCATAGCCTCTCTGAATGTGCTTCCTGGAGGCTCTTGGAACTTCTTTCCCATGCGTCTTCAGGAACATAAATAAAATAACAAATACTAAGATACCCAGTGAAGGGTCCCATCGCCACAGCCTTTCTCCCCAGCTACTGAAAAGCTGGGGGAGCAGGTCGGTGATGCACGCTGAGAGCTGAACCACCCACCACAAGTAAACAGCTCATCTGACACTGTGCCAGGCCAGCTGCCCACAGCCTGGCTCTCCAACTTTTACCATCTCTGCACTGTCTGTCTTACAACTTAGTGCTTGTAAAACTCAGATCTGATTCTGTGAGGCATGTACTTGTTGGTCTGGGGGCGGGGCAGACAGCAATGCTGGGTGTCCTTCTCCATCACCCTCCACCTTACTCTCTGACAGTCTCTTACGGAACCTGGAGCACCTTGAAGGCGGGGGCCCCTCCATCCCTCTTCATATCATTTTTGCTGTTGTTTTTAAATGTGTACAGGTGTTCTGCCTGCATGAATGTCTATAACCTCAGAGGACAGCATAGAGAGTCCGATCCCTCTGGACCGGAATCAAAGGCAGTGGTAAACCACCGTGTGCGCCAGAGATTAAAGTGGGTACTCTGAAAGCAGTGCTAGCCACTGACTCACTCCATCCCTCTTTCATATTCTTCAGCCTGGCTGCCCCAGACACACAAGCATTGGACACACGGTGAGGAAGGGAGGACAGGGCCACCTGAGACTCTGTCCTCTGTCTTCAGGACTGAGCTCGGTTACTCCTTGGAACTAAGAGAAGACCGTTTTTGTTTTTTTGATCCTTTATTCTCCCAGGATGCACTGTTTGTAAATGGCCAAGTCTTAACAGACCAAGAGTCACAGGCTCACAATCTAACCACAATCAAAACACAGGAAACCCCCAATCTCAGGATTGAGACCGGAACGGGTGAGCTTTTTACTCAGAGTTCCGTGTCAATAAGCGGAGCAACTGTTCACAGCCACTGAGATCAGGGAGCAGGGAATCCTTCATGCTTAAATTAAGCCTGACTTACTTCCCAAAACATCTATGTGGGGAGCTGGAGAGATGCCTCAGAGGTTAGGAACACTAGCTGATATTGCGTGAGGCCTGGGTCCTGGTCCCAGCACACATATGTCAGCTCACAACCACCAGTAACTCCAGTTTCAGGAATGCAACTCCCTCTTTTGACCTCCAGAGGTACCAGGAGCACATGCAGCAAACACTCATACAAGTGAAAATGAATAAATCTAAACAAATAAACAAAAGCCTTGAAAGAATCTATGGGAGAGAGGTGTCCTAACTCAGTCTTTATGACTTTTCTGGTAAAAGGCCTGCTCTTATTACATGATGACTTAATTGTATAATTCAGTGGCTTTTAATGCAGTCACGAAGTTGAGTGACCACATCATTGCACAAGTCCAGAGAGCCTGCACCACCCCAAAAGCTGACCGCTGCTTACACTGGGGATTTAATAAAGACTTTCTTCTTGTACCTACCACAAACTGGAATCTTCCTTTTGGATAGGATTATTTTTTTACTTAAAAAGACATCAAAGACTGGAGAGATGACTCAGAAGTTAAGAGCATGTACTCTCCTACAGCAAACCCAAGATAGGTGACTCAAGAAACGATTCGGTTCCCAGCACTTATGAGGAAAGGGACTCACAACCACCTGGAACTCCACTCTAGGGGACATGGCACCCTCTTCAGGCCTCTGAGGGCACTGCACTCACGTGTGCATAACACACACACACATACACACACACACACACAATTAAAAGTAAACCTTTAAAACAAACACTTAGGAACTCAAACAGTGGGATGGCACAGTCTGTTTTGTTCAGGGTGTTCTTAATGCTCGCATTAGAAAGACAGCGGAACAAGTGAACATCCACTTGGTCAAGGGACAGTGAGACACAAAGGGAAAAGAAAGAGGGGAAGGGGTGCAGCCGCAGGCACGCTGAAATCCTCTTACCTTTTTGTGTCCGATCAGGAGACAGTTGGAGTGCTCGTGTTCACACGCAATTTCATAGTCGGGAAGCAGGTCCACTAGCTCCTGGACAAACCGGACCACTTCCTCGTGCCAAGGCACATTGGCCATGGTGAGGTTGCTGGCTGCACTCTCGCCACAGTAGGTCACACCCTGTGGGAAGGACAGCAGTTACAGACCTTTCTGCGGGTGACAGCTCGCGGTGGTCACATTTCCCTATCACCTTGGCTGATCAGGAGACACAGCACTGGACACCTCTATGACGGCAACTCCAGAATAGGTTAGCTGAGGTGGACCGCACTGAATGCGGGTGGTGCCATCAGTGGGCGGGGTCCCCAGACTGAATACAAAGGAGACAGTGAGCTGAGCGCCTGCATCCGTCTTTCTCTGCTCCCTGACTGTGGATGCCATGTGACCAGCTGCCTCATGCTCCTGCCACCATAACTTCCCCACCATAAGTCTTTCCTTCCTTATGTGGCGTTTGTAAGGTATTTTCTCACAGCTATGAAAAGAGTAACTAATGCAGATCCTACTGAAAATCTAAAAGGTGATAACTAATTTTTCAGACAGAGTCTTTCTATGCTGGCCTAGAATTTGTAGTAATCCTCCTGCCTCAGTACAGGCACTGGGACCACAGATGTGCGTCACTATGCCAAAGTTGTGATGTGCTTTGAGTATGATTTTTTAAAAGGACTTATTTATATCTCATGCATAGGAATATTTGCCTACATGTATCTGTGTACTTGACATGCATGCCTGGTGTTTGTGGGACCCAGAGAAGGACACTGGTCCCCTGGAGCTGAAGCTACAGGCAGTCATGAACCACCACCATGAGTGGGGGAACTAAATTTAGGTCCTTGGCAAGAAGAGCAAGAGCTCTTAGCTGTTGTGCCATCTCTCCAGCACCACTGAATATAAATTTATTAAAATAAAGTATTCTATATTATATAAACTGAGCAGATTGAATCTGGGAATATATATATATGTATGTATTTTATATTCATATAACAACAATTAATGAAAAAAGAGGTCAAGAAAGAGTATGTGTGAGGGCTTATGGGGAGGAAAAGGAAGGGAAAAATCATGTAATTATATTATAACCTCAAAAATAAAAGGATTAAAAATAAGTATCACACCAAAGGAGAAGCACTGTGGATTTACACACAAGTCTTACTTATTTTCCCAACATGGAAATTCCTATTAAGTACAACTGTAGTAAGACAAGTAGGCTTTTGATTCTCAGCCCCTCCCTGTGAACCCAGAACAGACCTCCCCCAAGTCTCCTCAGTCCTCTACTTAGTAAATTACAAAGTGGGAAATGATTCTTTCTCTAATAAGAAGGTGTATCTTGACACATTTCATTATCAGACCTTTCTGTTTTGTTTTTGAGATGCTCATGTAGCCCAGGCTGGCTTCAAATTCAGTCTGCAGCCCGATGAGCTAGCTTGCCCTCCTGATGCTCTGCCTCTGCCTCCTGAGGGCTGGGACTACAGCCATGGCTACCATGCCCAGCTCAGAACTGCACTTTCTCAACAGCTAGCTTCAATATTCAACAGCTAGCTTCAATATTCAACAGCTAGCTTCAATATTCTAGACACAAGCAGCAACTGAAAAGCACAACACTGCCCCGCTCCCACCCCTTAGCCCAGCAGTGACGGCCCATGCCTTTAAACTTTAATCCTAGCAGAGGCCAGCCTGGTCTACAAAGTGGGTTCCCGGACTGTTACACAAAGAAAGTTGTCTTGGGAAAAAATAAAAAAGGCCTCATACACACACACACACACACACACACACACTAGATTCAAACACAGACACATATAACACATACACAGAAACTAATATGCACCACACAGAGAGACACAACACACGCATCACACATACACAGGCACCACAGATATACAGAGACATTTACACGCGTGCACACACATACAAATACACCACATACATGTGAAAGAGGCAGAACGTATTAAAAAGGAAAGCTGATCCTACAGTCCAGCCCTAGGTAACCTGCCCCCTACAGATGGCAGAGCTAGGACTTGGCCTGAGACTCAAATGAGCTCTGCAAACCCTCGCTGCAGATGGCCACTCACTGCAGATGGCGGGTCATAGTTACTGCAGACACTGAACCCAAATGCCCTCCACTGAGTGTTAACTACCCACAGCCCAGCTTCCTTAGGCTAAATGGGGAAATGGCCTCTGTTTGCTCAGGGATTTGGAGAATTCATTAGGCTGAGCTTCGGTGGATTTTAAAAAGCAATGGTAACACAGTTCAAGACATCATTAGGAAAATCAAGTTGGAAAACTGTGCTACTAACCCGACTGCACACAAAACAGTGAGAGGGCTTACACACAGGTCATCAGATTCCAATGCTATAGGCGAGTTACACTGGAAAAGCCATCGCAAAGGAACTTTGTTAATATTTAAAAGCTCCCCGAAGCACAGAGCTCTCAGACAAGCTCTTACATTCATAACTATGGCTGAGGAAGACATTTAATATTTTATTCCTCAGCAATAACAGATCACCAGATGCTAAGGGGGACTCAGTGTGATGATGGACTGACTAGATGCTGCCCTTCATTAAAACCTTCTGTTTGTCTCATGTAGCCCAGGCGGGCCCCCATTTCACTGTGTAGCCAAGGATGACCCTAAACTCCAGCCCTTCCCCCACACGCTAGGCTTACAGGCAAGCAACACCAATCCTGGCTCATGCCATGCTGGGGATGGACAGGGCTTCATGCCTGCTAAGCGAGCAACAGCCACGGCCCTAAACTGGCTATTCTCCAATGAGCATGAACCAAGGGTTAAACCGGAGTTAAACATTTATTTCAACTTGGCTGGATTCATCACCACCTCTAAGACAGACCCTGAGTGTGTCTGTGAAGGTGTTACCAAAAATGCTTAACTGAGGAGGGTCCCATGGGCTGAGGGCCCAAACTAAATGAAAAGGAAAGAGGAAGGTACAAGTGCTCTGTCACCATGCCCAAAGGCCCACGTTGATCCCCAAGACTCACATGGTAGGAGAATGCCGACTCCCAAAACTGGTCCTTACTGCTGACCATGGCCCAAGAATGGAGTCATTCAAGGGGAATTGAGTGTTCATGAGAAGAAAACAAGAGTCTTGTGACCTCAGTTTCTCCAAAAACACAGAACTGTTCTTGGAAGGTGCTTTTGCTCCCCTACTGGGTAAAGCTGATAGCAGTAAGTTTACTCCAGATTATGCATGACAACTGACTGTGGCTGTCTGTTGCTGTGCCTCTATGGAAAACATGTTTTGCCATTTGCCGTGTAGGCTTGTCCTTGTGATTATATGCAGCCTGAACTCAATAAGAACTTCCCTCATGTGACTTTTCTTAACCCCCAGAGTATAAATTATCTGATGCTCTGGATAAAGTTGACTTTAGTTTGCCTCACTTTTAAGTTCTATTCTCCCATGTTCCACCACCTTTAGAGCAGTAAACACACTTTCAAATGAATCTGTCTCTCTCTCTCTCTCTCTCTCTCTCTGTTTCTCTCTCTCTCTCTCTCACACACACACACACACACACAATGCATTTTTTTAATTAAGGAAAAAAGGTTGAATGTGGTCGCCCACACCTTTAATCCCAGCACTCACTCCAAAGGCAGAGACAAGCTCTATGAGTTTAGAGCCTGTCTACACAGTGCATTCCAGACCAGTCAGAGCTACACAGTAAGATCATTTCTCCAAAAATGAATGAATGAATGAACGAATGAACGAACGAAAGAATAAAACTTAAAAAGGGACAAAGGAGAAAGTCATCAGAATGCTAGTGTGCTTACTAATCAATCCAACCACACACTCCCACTATCAAGTCTTCCCCTCAGACACACACACACACACACACACACACACACACACACACACACACACACCAAGAAAATCCCTGCCCTCTTGTAAATGACCTTTTATGGGGTATTTAGATGCAGCAACAGGAAAAACATCTGATACAGCATTACAGGCATGTATAACTGGCACTCTCCTGACCTTGGCCCTTACCCTGTATGTGGGCAGTAAGGGGAAGATGCTTATTCACTTTGCTCTACCAGGTTTGAGCCCTGTGAACCGTTGTGGTGCTAACAGAGGGTGGCTTTCAAAACATCACTGCACAACAGTAATTGCTAAGCCCTTCCTGGTCTCTGCAGAGAGTGCAAACACAGGGCTTCCTACAAACGGGCTCTGTGATTCAGGTTTTCAATGCAGCAGATGTTTGTACCGTGAAGCACATTTTTACCAACAAGCAGGCAGATAATGAGGGCTGAGAGTCTCGGGCTCACAAATGAAGGCCCCATTCAAGCCTAATGAGGCTAAAATACATGTTAATTTACAGGGAATATAAAGGAAAAAATATTTTACCAGAGTGGCAATGAAAGAAAAGAGGAAATCAATATAATGAAGAGATAGCATCTACTGATTTATTTCATATAGAGTGCTTAATGGAAGGCAGTCTAAACATTTACTGGATCCTGGCACAGATTATCCCATTGAATTCTCAAACAAACAAACCTCTTAAAGGATTACTTCTTTATGGCAGGTGGGGTGGGAGTGGTGCACACCTACTATCCCAGCGCTTGGGAAGCTGAGATGAGATTCCCGACCACCTTGGGCTCCAAAGCCAGATACCTGCCTCAGAGAATAGATGCTACTGTCATTCTAATTTTAGGACAGATAGTTTAGTTTGAAAGGCTATACTGGCACATGTTGAATATGTGTAGCAAGGTGGCTCAGCAAGTGATGGCACTTCCTGCCAAGCCCAGCCACCTGAGCTGGGTCCCTGGAGCTCACACAGTGGAAGACAGAAATGCGACTCCTGGATACAACCGCAGTTAGGATGGGAAACACACACACACACACACACACACACACACACACACACACACACACACACACACTAAAACAAACAAACAAACCTGTGATGCATACCCCACTCAGCCTCATAAATAATGAAAAGACAAAGAAGGTAGGAAAAGAAAGACAAAAATCTCTTAATCTGGTTCGGTCAGTAAAACAAGATATAGTACTAAAAAGTTTTGAATAGGAACCACGCTTGAAACAAATCTGGAAGCATACATGCTTCTACTCTTTGGTGTTTGTTTTTGTTTGTTCATTGTACATGCACAGGTGGAGATCAGAGTACAACTTGCCAGAGCTGCCTCTCTCCTTCCACCCAGGGTTCAAGCTCAGGTCACCAGGCTTGGTGGCAAGCATCGTTACCAGCTGAACCATCTCCCTGGCCCTTGTTTTGTTTTTGCTTTTTTGAGACGGGTAGTCTAGGCTTGTCTGGAATCATAGTAGTTGAAGGTGACCCTTACCTGCTGATCCTCTTGCCTGCATCTCCCAGGTGCTGGGGTTACAATGCGCACCTTCACACCTAGCTTGCTTCTACCATAGATTCCTTGAAATGAGTATTAAGAAGACAAGCAGTTTAAATGAAACACTGGTGACAGGCAGGGACAGCACTGGATGTGCCCGGCATGAGCCTTGGGCATGGCAATAGCCTGGGCCCAATCTGGCAGCACATGTGTAAGTCTGATATACTGTTATGCTTGAACCAAACCTCCCCCAGGCTCAAAGGGAGACTTTCTCCTTCTGTCACACAAGGGTAGACATGACTCAAGGCTTCTCCGTGCTAGTCTCTGCCCATGGGAAAGCATTCCTTTGAGACACTGCCCTGCAGTGAAAGACTCTGTCTTCTCTATTTCAGGCTGGGGTCTCTCCTGAAGCAATGGAATATGATACACACAACCTCTTGTCCTCAGACCCTGAGGGTTCCGTTTTCAGACCTGACACTACGGCATCATCTAACAGATAAACACACTTTGGGAGGACAGGAAACCATCATCCTGGTTCTCACAAAGAAGCACCACCCTTCTAATATCTCCTCAGCCTCCACTGTTTTCTTTCAAAGACTATTTTTCATTATGCAAATGTGTGGCTGTGTGTACCTATCTACAGATGCCAAAAGAGGTGTCAGATCCCCTGGAGCTGAATTAAAACTGAGCTGCCAGATGTTGGTGCTGGAAACTGGACCAGGGTCTTCTGTAAGAGTAGTATGCACTCTTAGCCATGGAGCCATCTCGCCAGCCTCTTCCACTGGTTTTGTTTTTTATACTAAGTATCACCTGTAGCCCAGGCTGACCTCAAACTCTGCTGGGGCCTCCCAAATACCAGGATTACAGGTGTGAAGCCACCACCACAGCAAAGATACCACCTTTTCAGACATTAACTATCCGAATCCTGATGAACAGAGAAGCTTATCTTCTCACTCACTTATTTTTAATTGGTTGCTGTCTTCGTGCTTGAAGTGCTGGGGCAGAACCCAGGGCCTCACAGATCCCAGGCAAACACTCTGCACTAGTCCAAGTCCTCAGTCCTGTTGTTTCAGGGTATGATGGTGCACACCTGGAACCCCAGCCCAGGGTAGGCTAAGGCAGAGGCTTAAACTAAGGATAAGGGCAAGGTAAACCTGGGCTACACAATGAATTCAAGGCCAGCCTGGGCAACTTAGCAAAAGCCTGCATCCAAGTAAACAGTGAAGGAAGGGCTGGGGAGAAGTTCAGTGGTGCTAACCCCTAACTGACCTCCTCCTTTTAGGGGGAGCATGCTCGCAGCCGCCTGTCCTTTGCAGAACCCCAGGGAGAACTCCAGGGGTCCACAAGACAGCCACACGGCCATGCCTACTGCCGCTCTATTCGCAACGGCCAGCATGCTGAATCAGCTCAGGTGTCCACCAACAGATGAACAGGTAAAGAAAACATGGTATAAGGGGCTGGTGGCATGACTCAGTGGGTAAAGGCGATTGCTACCAAGTCTGACAACCTGAATTTGGTCCTCAAGTTCACATGGTGGAAGGAGAAACCCGACTCCGAAAAGCTGTCGTCTGCCCTCCGAGTGACACTTAATTTCACTACTGCTAGGCCGTATATTTCTCTAAGAATTTTAAATGATAAAATCTCTCAAAGCAGCTCATCTTACTTTTGTTTTTGAACTTCAGTACTATATTTCTCCAACCATCTCTATCAGTTTTCCCCTTGAGTATTTTAATGAGGGCTGGTACAAGCAGTACTGGACATACTGTTGAGTACGCAGATAAAACAACCAAGTGGGAAGTTGCTTGAAAGAAGTTTGTAACACAGCTTTCTCTATTTCTGAGTCACATGAACAGGTGCCAAACACACAAAAACCCCAACAGGGAAATTCACTGTCTAACAAGTAGCCATCTTTCTTCAAAACACAGCAATTACTACTATCAGTAAACAACCACTAGTACCTTGGTGGTACATGGCTATAATCCCAGCACTTGGGAAGTGGAGGCAGGAGGATCAGGGGTTCAAGGTCACCTTTGACTGCATGATATGATATCTACAGAAGATCCTGTTTAAAAGAAGATTATAATAATATTTGCCATTTTTTTCAAATTGTAAAACATTCACCATAGGAAATATGACTTCAAAAGAAAGGGCAAGAGTGAGAGGAAGAAAGGGAAGGGGAGGGGGAGGAAGAAAGGGAGAGAAGAGGTGTCCATGATCCGGCCAAGCACAATAAAAACAAAGATTTTACTACCATATAATGTGTGGCAACATTTTTAATAGCTAAGCCATAAATTAAAAGCCACTAATCTCTGCAGTTGGCAAGCCTTCCCTGGACCAGGACATTATTTTCAGACAGTTTGCATTTGTGCGTCATTAGAACTCCTGCCAAGAGAAACCTTTGAACTCAAGAACAATTTCAAAACCAAAGAGTGTCTCTGGCCTGACCAGAGATAACATGATAATGGCGTGGAGAGCAGGAGCCCTGGGTGCCCAAATCCCCAGCCCTCCTACAGAGAGCTGAGCAGGAGCCCTGGGTGTCCACTCCTACAACCCCTCCTACAGAGAGCTGAGCAGGAGCCCTGGGTGTCCACTCCTACAACCCCTCCTACAGAGAGCTGAGCAGGAGCCCTGGGTGTCCACCCCTACAACCCCTCCTACAGAGAGCTGAGCAGGAGCCCTGGGTGTCCACTCCTACAACCCCTCCTACAGAGAGCTGAGCAGGAGCCCTGGGTATCCACCCCTACAACCCCTCCTACAGACAGTCTAGTTCTAAAGAAGCGGCGAAATGCTACAACTCCCCCTCTTGGGACTCAGGAAATATTCAGTTTCAAAACTGCACACTCGGGAGGCAAGAGCTGGCTTTCAGAGATGGGGATTTTTCTCCTGCTACTCAGTCATCTTGGGGATGCTCTTGGCACCCAGAAAGCCTTTCTATGCTCCACCTCAAAGGCATAGTTTCAAACTTTCACTTCCAGCCCAGCCTTAACCCCATGCAGTGACCTCTTTAAACTTATACTTGAATATTTTAAAGATACCCTAAATTTAATACTGCAACAGGGAACTCAGGAAATGTCTCCACCCAATCCCCCTAATTTTCTGTACCTTAGCAACACATTCCAACCTTCCACATCACCAGTTTCACCAGTTAACCAAAGACTTCAGTGCAATACACACACACACACACACACACACACACACACACACACACACACACACTTGTTTTAGAGACAGTGTCTTATGTAGCCTAGCTTACCTCAAACTCATGTATAATCAAGGATGAGTTTGAACTTGTGATCCTGGGTGCTGAGATTACATGCCTATGCCACTATTCACAACCACTGGTACTATTTTTTTTTTCAATCTTTTTGTTTGTATATTAGGGTGTCAGTCCTTGATTTCCATCTTACAAGGATCTCATTGTTGGCCTTTGTGTATACCAGGCTAGCTGGTCCATAAGGCTAGACTGGACTACAGAATAAGACACTATCTTAAAAAACAAGGAATAAGTAAGTAAGTGAATAAATGAATGAAATGGAGAACTTATCTTTTAACTTACATAGCATAGGGTAAAATAAGCAGGACTAACGGCAGGGGAAATGGGTAGCAGTTGAGTTGAAACCAGACCAGCCCCAGACTGGCCTTTTGTTGAAGGTGATAGGTAGGCAGGGCTCATTAGACTACCACTGACATCTGAAATAGGTTCGAAATATCCCATAATAAGAGTTTAGTTACTCACTCCAGTACTACTTTCTCAGCTCATCTCCCACCATAGGAGAAGCTCTCAAAGATTTGTTTAAACCCAATACCAAATATGTAAACTGTCAGTATAAACTGACAACATTGTATGCAACAGTGATGTACTGTAAAAATAAATTGGTATAATGACTGATTTTTATAACTGGCCAGTCCCATAATTAAACTTATTTTCAACCCTAAAGAAAGAGATTAAAAACTAGTGTGTGTGTGTCTGTGTGTGTGTGTCTTGTGTGTGTGTCTGTGTGTGTGTGTCTGTGTGTGTCTGTGTGTGTCTGTGTGTGTGTGTGTGTAGTGCCCCTCAGGGCACTAGATCCTCTTGAGCTGGAGTCACAGATGGTTGTGAGCTGTATGATAACTGGGAACCAAACTCAGGTCCTCTGGAAAATCAGCAAGTGCTCTTAAACACTGAGCCAACTCTCCAAGCCCCAAACTGGATGCTCTTGAAGACCAACAGCTTGGTCTCCTTCACTGCTGCTGTCCCTGATGCCCAGGACAGAGCCAGCTTCTTGGTGAGTCTATGAACCAAATAACCAGGAATTGAAAGCTTTCCCCCAACCCTTGGCCAGCCAGCCCTAAGTTGTAGCTCACCTTGACCTCGATGAAGTCGGGGTTCCCCAAGGACACCAGCTCAGCATAGGCCTGGAGTTCTTCCACGTTCCAACACTTCACAAGTGTCAGTCTGTAGACTGTTCGCTGTTGCTGAAACAGGGAAAACAACTTGGTTTAAAACTGAGCCAAAGTCACAGATTCACGCAAGAACCCTGGTCAACACCTTTGACCCACAGACAAAACAGGTCAGGTGGAGCCCCTGTGGACATCTACAAACTGAAGTTACTTTTTAAAAGAAGATGAGTTGCTCAGCTAGCTCAATTGATAGAGCACACGACTCTTAAAAAGATTTTATTTTTCACTGATTATGTGTATGAGTGTGCATGGGTTTGTGTACATGGGTGTAGTTCCTCCTGAAGTCAGTAGAGGACACTGGACCCTCCCCTGCAATATGGGTACCAAGAATAGAACCTGGGTCCTCTGGAAGAGCAGCAAGTGCCTTAACCACTGAGTCATCTCTCCAGTCCCTGAAATTACATTTTGCAGACAGAAAACATCAGTGATAGAAAGATTCTCATACATCTTATAAAGGCACAAATTACTAACACATGTCTTCTCCAGGCCCTCACCCCATCCCCAGTATCTACAATCATGTTAGTCACCAAACGGCTGCCTGCCGCACACACAAACTGAATCCGCGTCAGCAGGAACAGGGGCTGGTGGGATGGCACGGTGAGTAAAGGTGAGTTCGATCTCCAGGGCCCTCTTAGGATCCACCTGGAGGCTGGTGAGAACAGTCCTGCAAGTTGTCTCCCTTACTCACATGTGCGTGCATGCATACACACCACTCAATAAAACAAAACGACTACTGAAGAAACAGCAATGCAGTTCCCCAGCACTGCAGCCTCTGATCAGTCTCCCCACGCTAATGTAAGAAACTATAATTCACATCATTGTGGGCTAGAGAGATGGCTCAGTGGCTAAGAGCACCGACTACTCTCACAGAGGGCCTGAGTTCAGTTCCCAGCACCTACATGGCAGCTTACAACCACCTGTAACTCTACTTCCAGGGGACCGACTGAAGTCATCTTCTAGTCTCCATGGTCACTGGCATATGTGTGTGTTTGTGTGTGCTTCTGGGTCACAAAAAAAGGGCATTAAATAAAAGGGAGACTAGTTAGGAAAATGGAGAGGGTTATGAGGATAATGGTGAAGAGGATGAAAGAGGGCCATGGAGGGTGAAGATGATCTGAACGCACTATACACGTGTCGGAAAATAACTAAATGAAACCCATTATTAAGTAAATTGATAGGCACTAATAAAACCTTTAAAAGTAAGCAATGAATTGATTAAATCATTTTAGATGATGGGAAATTAACTCACATAACCGTTTGCGCTCAAACAACAATCATGTGGACCATGAATAAGATGAATTATTGTTCTTTACTTTCCAGCTTCCTTGTTATTTATAATCTTTGGCATTTCTTGTTCTAGGAAAGTGATGCTGATGGGTAATCAGCAACATCCACCGCAGACCCCAAACTGGTCCAGGCTTTTTCAAAAAGCATTAAGATCAGAGTGACTAAAGACCGTGAAAGACAGACAACCTGAGTCTCAGCTACCTTCCGGGACCCAAAACAATCGAGTAAGGCTCAAGGGCATACCAGAAACCCTCAGAAGACCATTACTGATAGCTTGAAGTCAGAGGCTGAGCCTTTGCCCTTGAGAGGAGGCCAGACTTGGGTGAAATGGGGACGATGTGTGGCAAGTTCCCAGGTGTCCTAGTGAGCAGGGCTCAAAATTACCCAGAGAAAAGACTCCACATTCTCTAACTCTATGTTTGGGGAGAAAAGCATAATTCATAAAAAGAAGAAACACTTGAGGACATTTTTTTTTTTATTTTTTGAGGCAGGTGTCCTGTAGCCCAGGCTAGTCTTGAGCCGACTCCGTAGCCAAGCAGGACCTTGAACTTCTGGCATGAGAACACAAGTTCAAATCCCCACACACGCCTGTGACCCTAGAGCTGGGGGTTTGTAGGGTGGGCAGACAGGGAGGGTCACTGGGTCACTGACTGCCAGCCTCACTCCAGGTTCAGTGTGAGAACCTGTCACAGGTAGTAGGGTAGAGGGTGACACAGGACACCTGGTACCCTCCTCTGGCCTCACACACAGCATGGGCGCTCGCACCTCTCCAACACACTCACAAGATTATACCACACAAACGTACGTCATACACTTACACACCAAAACTAAACTCAGGCAACCCTAACAGAGGAGTGGTTCTATGCCAGCAAAGACCATTTACAGAATAGAAGGCAGAGAATATTCAATTTAAACATCTCTATTAAAAACCCAGTGATTCATTTATGAAATTACGTGCAAGAAAGTTAAAAAGAAAGAACACATTTCTCAGAGACCTAAACAAAGCTCTGCCTCCACGGAAGTGAACTTTACAAACCCTCTGAACCAGTAGTCTGTTGAGGAAGCTAGCAAGAGAAATGAAGCAAGATCAGCAGGATCAGCAGGCACTTGCTGTGTGCCAGATGTTGTCACAAGTGTTTTGTATCTTTCCAAGATTCTAGTATCTATCTAAACTTCAGAAGGAAGCTTACCAGATTCAAGGGAGTATAATCTGCATTTGACAAATATGAACCCCAGGCACAAAGTGGGTAAGTAAACTGCCAAAAGCCGCACAGTAGTCAAGCAGGTGATCCAAGATGGGGTCCCAGCCATAGGAACGCTAGCAACTGGGCTTATGTGTGTGCTTGCTCTGTCTCTCTCTGCCTCTGCTTCTATCTGCTACACCTTGCAAAATTGAGATAAACCACACAAAGAAATAAGACTCAGGGTGTGACTCGGTGGGCAGAGGGCTTGTCCCCAACACCACATGAACCAGGAGTAGTAGCTCCTGTCTGTCATCCCAGCCCTGAGATGGAGGCAGGAGGATGAGGGGAGTTCAAGGTCATCCTGAGATACATAGCAAGTTCAAGGCAAGCCTGCACTACATGAGACCCTGACTCAGAAAAAGGCGTGAGGGCACGAGAGAATGGTTCAGTGGTCAAGAGTGCTTGCCATTCCTACACAGGACCTGACTCCTGTTCCCCACGTCCAAAATGGTCGGTTTACAGCTGCTTCTAACTGCAGTTCCAGGGAATCCGACACCCTCTTTTGGCCTCTGAACTCACATGCACATAGCCACACACACACACACACACACACACACACACACACACACACACACACACACGATAGACATCTTTTTTAAAGATGTGTAACTAAACTCATACTCTACATTGATCTTCCACTGTAATAAGTATAACAAAGCCTTCATCTACACCTGAGGGTCTCCAGTTTGTTCAGCTGTGTGCTGTTAACACTGTTGCTCAGTGACAAAGTCTGCTATCCAGTAGCAACAATGCTTTTGAACCAGGGGCAACTCTGCAACCCTGGGGCTATTGTGCTCCAACTTTGAAACTTCCTTTCAAAGGTGACACCTTGAGAGCCCTTGTGGGTTCCCCAAGTGGGGGTGCTACTGACATCTAGTGGGCAGAGGCCAGAGCCGCTGCTGAGCACGACATAATCAAAAGCTTGCCTCCCCCGCCCACCCCTTCATGCTGTCACAGTTATTCCATGAAAAGGGAAATGGATCGAAAGGCAAGATGCCCTGTTAGAGCACGTCTGCCCATGTCCGTTAACAGAGTGCTGGCTGTTCTTGGCCATTTGCTTAGTGTCCATGTTTAGGATCCAACTATTCCCTTCCAGAAATACACAACACACTTTGTGAACTTAAAAATAAAACACTATCGTCATTTAAGTGTGTTCATGCACATGCCACAGTATGTGGCGTAAATCAGAGCACAGCTAAAATTCTGCGATTACAGACAGGTGTGCACTACATGCCCAGCAAAGTCATTACCGATTGCCAGAAGTGACTGCAGATGATAAAGCCCGAATTCAAGAGAGCCTGAACCGTCCTCCTAACACAGAGTTGGAGTTAGTCCTTCCTGGAATCCACCTGGGCCGGGAACTCTCTCTGGGTGGGTTTTTACATTATAAAACCAGAAGACTAGAGAGATGGCCCAGTGGTTAAGAGCACTCACTACTCTTGCAGAGGACCCAGCAGGAGCACCATAACCATTTGTAATTCCAGTTATGCACCCATGCGCATGCACACACACACACACACACACACACACACACGCACGCACGCACGCACGCACGCACACACATGAGTATTAAAATAGGCTGGGTATTAAAGGTACACACCTTTAATCCCAGGTGGATTTCTGTGAATTTGAGGCCAATCTGGTGTACATGGTAAATTCCAGGTCAGCCAGGGATACAGAATTGAGACCCTGTCTCAGTAAGTAAGTAAATAATAAAATCAAATAATTCATAAACTCCGGTATAGTTGCTTTCTATTGCTGTGATAAAACATCAATTCCAAAACCACTTGGGGAGGAAAGGGTTTACTTGGCTTACAGGTCATAGTCCATCACTGAAGGAAATCAGGGCAGGAACTGAGGCAGAGACCATGGACTGCTGACTGGCTTGCTAACCTGCTTTCTTATACAGCCCAGGACCAGGTAGCACTGCCCACAGTGGACTGGGCCCATCCCCAAAAAACACCCTGCAGGCTTGCCTACAGGCCAACCTAATGGGGCATTTCTCAATTCAGGTCCCGTCTTCTGAGGTGACCCCATCTTGTGTCAAGTTGGTAAAATATCTAACCAGTACAGACCCAAGTCCCCTAGTTTATTCTTGTGCTGAGTTTTTCTAGCTCTGCTTCCTAAAATTTTGTACATTTCATCTAATTGGCACAAAGTCATTTAAAATACCTTATTTTTCTTTCATATATATATATATATATGATGTATATGTATATAACCTTGTGAGCATACATGACTGTGTCATACACATGCCACAGTATATGTGTGGAGGTCAGAGGCCAACCTAGATTGTCCCTCTTCACCTTCCACCTTTTCAGAGATGGGATTGATTTCCTTGGTTGTTTGCTGCTGCCTTACCCAGGCTAGCTGACCCACTCAACACCGGCACTGAGATTGAAGATGAGCACTGCTAAGTCTGGCTTCATATGAGTTCTAGGATTTGAACTCAAGAGCCTCAGGCTTGTATGTGGCAAGGACTTG